ACAGAGAAGCAGGATCTGTTGATGATACTGTTATTATTAACTCTCTTCCTTTATTACAAGAAAAATGTGCTAAATATTCTCTTGAACGAATTTACAATATGGACGAAACAGCTCTTTTTTATAGGTTGGAATCTGATTATTCATTAGCAACACAACGCCTTACTGGGCGTAAAAGAAACAAAGATTGAATTTCTATCACACTATATGCGAATGCTGATGGTTCCCATAAACTGAATCTCTTGGTAATCAGAAAATATACAAAGTCACGATGCTTTAAAAATGTTAAGATTTCTAACTTACCAATCTTTTATCGTAATAATACAAAAGCCTGGATGCTTATAACTCTTTTTCAAGAGTGGCTTCATTGGTTTAATCTGCAAATTACAAAAAAACATAATGGTCAATGTGTTTTATTAGTTCTTGACAATTGCTCAAGTCATAATGTAGATGGCTTAGATTTGCCAAATATTGAAATTCTTTTTTTACCTCCGAATACAACCTCTAAAATCCAGCCGATGGATACTGGAATCATAGTGGCATTCAAAAGAAATTATCGTCATTTTCATATTCAGTGAATGTTGGAAGAAGTTGAAAGTGAAAAAAATGTAAAGGATCTGAAGATAGATATCTTACGAGGAATTCGCTATATTATTAAAGCATGGAATGAAATTAAAGAAAGGACAATCTATAATTGTTGGCGTCATACCAATATCCTTTCAAATAATGATAATGAAATTTCTTTAGAAAATAGTCAAGAGACCGAAAAAACTGATAAACTGCTGAATCTTTCAGATTCGATTGAAAATCTTAATTTACCTAATTTAATGAAAGTAGATGATTTCCTAGCTATTCCAGAAGAAGAAGTTGTTTGTAAAATTCTTAATGAAAACTCTCTAATAGCCGAAATTATTGAAATCTTTAAAGAAAAACCTGAAGAATTTGATAATGAAGATTCTGATGAAGCGGATGACAGTATTGAAATAACAATCATAAGCACAAGCGAGGCACTAAAAAGCTTAGAAGTAATGCGTACATTTTTACTCCAGCAAGAAGAATCGGATGAGTATATAAAAAAAATTGATAGCATTGAAAAATTTGTTAATGCAAAACGAGTTAGTTTGATGAAACAAACAAATTTGAATCAATATTTTAATTTATAAAAGCAAATTATTATTGTTCTTTACTGCTATTTGAGCTCAGTGACTTCTTTTATAAAAATTATATTTTTTATTAACTGTTAAATATTAAATAAACCATATTAATGTTAAGTTTTTAAAATTATCACTGGAAATTGTAAATGGCTTTTTTGATTAGTCTAATGTAAAGTTAGTAACTATAAATTGTTTGAATATATATACAAAGTATATAGTACGTATAACTATAGGAATTTTAAATATGACAAATAACCTTCATAAATACAGAAACATACAGATTTGTATGACCAATAATAAGAGTTTATCACGTGAGAAAAGATATTCCCTAAATGCACACCCTCCCTAAATGCACACCCGTGCTTGGTCCGAAGAGGGTGCATTTAGAGAGGGTTCTCTGTATTAAAAGAAATTATTAATAAATTGTAAAAAAAAAATTAAATATCTTTAAAGCAATATTAATTTTTTAATTAAAATTTATTATACAATTACTATACAATTTACAGATTTTTTTATATAGCAAATAAAAAAAAAAAAAAATACAAGAAATTATTTGCAACTGTGTATACTATTTGCAAAATACTAATTTTTCTATATAGTATTTATACTTTTATTTAAAAAAAGTGTATATAAAATTTCATTTTTATGTACTATATACAGTTTTTATAATAAAAAATTATTACTACTCTAGAGATTTTAAATAGTATTTTTACAAAAAATTGTTTACTATTTATAATTTTGACTAATCAAATTTTAAAATCAAGAGTAATATAAGTTAAAACAAATATGTTTTGTTTTTTAAATAAAAAGTTTCATATAAAATTAAATTGTATTATAGTTAGAGTTAAAATAAAAATAATATAAAGTTAAAATTAAATTTATTAGTAAAATTTTACAAGAAATATTTTTAATTAGAGCAGTGTTATTAAAAAGAAGTAAATTTGAAAAGATCCAAAGAAGAGAAAGATGGATTAGAGGTCTAGTTACAATAGAAAACTTTAAGGAGTTGAGATCCTATTTTAACTCCAACAACTAGACGAAGAGCTTTATAGTAAAACTTTGAAAAAATTGGATGAAAAAGGTGTATGAAAAAATATAGATTCCAAGATACAAGTTGGTATAAGAATAAGAAAAAGAAAATGGTATTGCTCTAAGAGAAAAGAAAAGGTCTTATGAAAAGTTCAAGAAAAGAAACAAGAAGAAGAAGAGGAAAAAAAAATAAGACCCCAAAGTGGATCCTTCAAAAAAAACTAATGAAGGAAAGAGTAAGAAGAAAGAAGAGAACATGAAGTAGGAATTGGTGTTAGAAATCTCAAAAAAAGAAGTATTAAGTTGGATTGAAGGTGGTCAATATTCAGATTGGTGAAAAGTTAACATGTAGTCTTGACAAGTGGTAAGGACTGCCGTTGAAGTACTATTGAAGCCAAATGCAGAATAAGATAGTACAGAGGCAAATCTTACTATAGCAGGTCGCATATAAGTACTCAGTGAGCAACTAGGTGAGTCTCCACTTGTAATTTAGATACTGAAGAGTTTAACTTTTTGGAAAATTTTAATAGTTTAAAGAATTATTACAAAGCCTAATAAAGTGAAGACAAGACTGCTAAATTTTTTTTTAAAAAAAAAATTAGAGCAGTGTTATTTATTATCTGATTTTTTTTTATTAAAAGCATATATTTTCTTCTCTCTTCTTATTATATATTTGATTAGGTTTTTATATATAATTTTAATTTTTTTTACACTTCTTCTTCTCTAAAAAATTATTTAATTTTTGTTACTTCTCTTAGATTATAAAAAATGGTTTTATAATTAAAATTTAGAGCTATTTTTGTTTTTTTATAAAAAATAGCTTTATTTTAATTTTTCTATTATATTTAATTCTGAAATTTAATTGGCTAATATTATAAAGAATAAACAATTTTTGTAAATTAGCTAAAGATATTGCTATATTTATATATATATATAATATATATATATATATTTTTAAACTTAGGCAGTTTCGCCAGTGTTTTATTAAGATCCTAAGTATTATCAATATACAATACCTGTTTACTCTTAATTTGCAAACCTGACATTACCCAGCTGCCTTAAAGGTGCCCAAATGCAACCCACTACACTAATCTGAAGTCTAAGATTAGATGCTTATATTAAACTAGCCTAATTGCCACACCACAATGGCTTCTTCTCTCCTTTGTATTCCTTTGACTAACAAGAAATATAATAAGGACAATAAAAGAAGAGGGAGTTAAAAAAAAAGAACATATCAAGAAAACGAAGATACTAAAAAGAAAAACAAAATTAATAGAAGAAAAAAAAGAGTAAGAAAAACAAAAAAGAAAAAAAACCACATGATAGACAAGAAGGCTAGTCTAACGTAAAACTAAACTAAACTAAAAAAGACAAAAGACTAGAAGATAGTAAAGACTCAACTAAAAAAAACAAAAAAGAAAAGTCTGTGACAATGCACTATTATAACCTGTGCAAGGTAGATAAAAATTATATAACAACTGCAACAATTGTATATCTCTCTTGTAAAACATCGCCTTAATGTGTATTTCTCTTTTCAACTAACCAACTATCTTCAGAAATCTCTTTAACTATCAGGTTCTGATCTGAATTCGATCCAACCCATGAGGTAGCACTGTATCTGCAAACAAATATGACACATGGTTGCATTCTACTGAGTACATCTGAATTAGAAAGTGTAAACAATGCTGATCTTTTAGAAGGAGTAAACCAAATTGCCCACTTTTTGATAAAAATTTTGAAGAACTGGCAGAAAAGCAGAGAAAGGTAAAAAGAAGGAGTTTCTTGTACTATTTCTTAAGAAGTGTTTATTTTTCGCAAAAAGAAGTGTCTACCCTAACTAGAGAAAGAATGGAGTACAGAAGGCTTTTGTTATAGTGAGTAATAAACTCTGAACTTGTTAGCAGGTAGCATATGAGAACTATCTCTAAATGAAAAGTGCTGCTTTTGCAGTAAGTGATAAACTCTGAGCCAGTTAGCAGATAGCATATAAGAACTATCTTTAAATAACTGGTGCTGACTTATTAGATAACTGTCTTTCTTTATATATTTCTAATAACAGATTTTTTTGAAATTTTGGTTATTGAAAATTTGGTACAAGGGATCATCAAAAAGAGTAACATTATTATATTCAAAGCATGCTCCTTTATCAAAAACATTATTACAATCCAAGAACTTATAAGCTAGTCATCTCTTAAACTCTTTAACAACTACATATCAGATATAAACTAGAATTTAACTTTCAAATTATTTAACTCTCTAGAATATAACTCTTATAAATATTCCTTCTATATTAAAATCTTAACAAATAATCTTCCAACAATACAAAATTTTAATATTCGCTATCCAAGTCTATATACAACAAACAGATATTGTAAATGCCTTCTAACTAAAAACTCTCTTTATATACTTCTGTGCTCTAAAAATACTGAAAATATTCAACAATTACTTATTAATATAACTACTAATACACTCCAACAACTCCAAATTACATCTATTCAACTTATTACACTTTTTAATACTCTTTTACTACCAACAAACAACTCTTCTAATATACAATACAAT